GGCCAGCTAAGATACACACATAAAAACTATTGCAAATTGTATGTATTTTATCTACTTAAAGAAAATGCTATGTAACACTGTGATGGTTACTAATGTTAATAGCTACTTTTAAAATTTCAAGTGTCCCGGATTTTTTTTTAGCATATAGCAACTTACTTTTCAGAATCTTTAAAATGCCTTTTAGGACTTCACACATTGTAATGACTCCCATGTTTACAGAAATTAGCAATGAAATCTAAAACCAAAAGTTGCTTAATCAAAAAAGAATTGTTACATAAGAAAATATTGGTGGTTACCAGAGTCTGGGAAGAGGGGAAAATGTAGAGTTATTGTTTAATGGGTATAGAGATTCAATTTTATAAGATGAGAATTCTAGAGAAGAATGTTGGTGATGGCTGCACAACAGTGTGAGTGTATTTAACACCACTGAACTGTACACTTAAAAATGGTTAAATTTTATGTTATGTGTATTTTACCAATATAAAGAAAATATTCAATGCTTGATTTAAAAGCAAATATGTAAGAGATGGTTACTGATAGTCAAGTAGTAGAGAAAAAATGAAGGATTTTTATTATGCAAAATACTTTTTGAGTGGCATGAGGTTTTACCATATGTTGAATTTTATAATTTTAATTTACAAGTAGATGCTTCTAGAGAAAAAGTCCCAATTTCTTCTGCACATCTTTACACATTTCTAGAACTGAGTTCTGCATCAAAGAAAGAAAGAATTTTTAAAGTCTTTGCGTTAAGTGATTTTTGGTGAAAAATGGGATGAGTAAAATTGAGTAAAAGCCACAACTACCCAAAATGTAAATATCAGCTGAGCAATTGATTTGTTCTCTAAGCATCCTATAGGAACATAACAAATTATTGGTTGATTAATTTTCTATTAATGCAAATTAAATGGCAAAAGCAAAAAACAAAAACCCTTAATATTAAAAAAAAGATTTTGTATTTTCAGAAACTGAGTTTTTTTTCAAAGTGAAAATGTTTCTCTTCTATGAATAAAGTAAAACTTCATGCCAAATGACAACGAATACTATAAATGTAAGTTTGTCCAAATACAACTTAAAATATATATCTCATTTTTATGTTTAAAATAGGTTCTATTAAGTATTTTATTATGGGATGTCCTAAAGTTACCTCTACTCTCACAACATAACATTTATGTATATTCACTATATCTGGATTCTAAGGGCTACTCTGAGTTCATTTTGGAAGACTAGTGAAATAAATCCTTAAAGGCCCCTTTTCCATGCATTAAGATAGAAAATCCTATGGGATTACATCCATGTTTGCTTTTTAAATTATACCAAAAGCTCGATTTTATTAAGTATAATCTGCCTAGACAGGCACAAAATAAAATAAAACTTTGGTTTATATGTGAGTGTATGTATTAATTATATTGATTTTTTAGAAAAATATTTTTTCCATATATGTGCTAATATACTCTGCTAATATTGGTTACTTTGATAGAAGATAATATAGTAGTATTACTTTCCTAAGTGCTTTTCTGAGGTAATTTAACAGTAGTATATATTGACAGTAATACTAATTTTTAAATTTATTTTAGTTGGTTTCAAAAAAAGGAGCTACTTAAGATAGGGCCAATTTTTACTCTCATTTATTTTAAATTGTTAAGAAAATAGACCATCATTTTAGGGTAACTTTACACATTCATACATGGTAAAATTTAGCATTAGATTCTGGGCCCCCCAAAAAACATGATTGCCATTTTGATTGAGTTATAAAACAGTTTATATTCAAGCATCTATTTATGTTCAAGAATATTGAAGGGTTGCAGTCATATAAATGCAGAATTTCAGTTTATTTTAGCCTAAAGCATCATTTTAACATTTTCTAAAAGGTTGTTCAATTCTACATTTTGATTCCATTGTATGTGTAATTAAATGTTTGTGCACAAAAGCATTCTCTTATGTACTAGCAAATACACCCACAGGAATCCTCTTCCAAACTATAATTTATTTAAACATGTAATCATAGGACTTTAAAACATGCTTTCATTTTTCCAAACTGTATCTCGGTTTGAACTTCTTGGTGATAAAATGAGAGATTTTATTACCATTTTGATTTCTCTCTCCCCCACCACACTCCCTTCCCCTGTGACCTAACAGTAAGTGAAACATGAGCAGAAGGAAATAAAGAAAATCTATTGTGAATCTAATTCTATGTATTAAACTATTTCCCTTTCCCAGAAAAAAAACACAAGAGAATCAAGGATTTGTAATTATTTATGAATTCCACCACAATATGAATATTTGGGCCTGCAGCAGGCTCTCCTCTGTCTTGGCCTAAGTTGTAAATAGCTAAGGGGAGGTGGGGGTGGATGGGGGTGGGGTGTGTGTGTGTGTGTGTGTGTGTGTGTGTGTGTGTGTGTGTGTGTGTGATCCTGCCGAACGTTGTGGAGTCAGGCCCCCTACTGACAGGATCAGTCAATTACAGACTTGGGCGGTTCTACTGAGACTTCGTTCCATCAGAATCTGGTGCGGAAACAAGAGTGTGTACTTTTGGCGTGGTCCTTCTTTCCACATTCTGATGCCTGTGCTACAGCCTTATCACCTCGAGCACATCCGAGTCCTACCAAAAACGCTAGCCCAAGAGGTAGCTTATGCAATGATTAGTTTAAGTGAGATTTTTAGTCTTGCATCCGGTGTGTCTTCCTAAGAAGTAACTCTTCCTAGGAACTAGAATAGGACTTTGAAGAGAACAGAGAGAAAACTTTTCTACGGATTGTAGAATAGAGGGGGGAAAGTTCACCATTTCTCTTATTTTCATGTTATAATCACTCCATTCCCAGTTAAAAATAATTATTATAATAAGCTGCTGTGGAAACTGCCTCTCCATCTTGGCTGCATTAAGACTTAGGCAAAGGCTCTGTTATGAAGAAGCCAGTCTCGACAGGTTGCTGTACAGAATAACGCATCACAGTATGTCTTCCTCGGAGCTCGTTTTAAGAACTCCAGAACACTTTTTCACTCTCTGGGAGAAAATTCTCAAGTTGTCCCCAGACTCAACCCAGACTAAAAGCCAAGTGCTTTTTTTGTTGTTTGTTTGTTAACGGCATTAAGAGAGGGGAGAGTGCGGAGGAAATATATCTACTTAATGTGCCTATTTGTGTATAGAGGGTAACGGTTACAACCTTAAAGCTCTCCCGGCCCCCGCTTTCCTAGGAATATATTAAAAAATAATAACTGCCACCGCAGCGTGGCTGCGCTAGAGTTTCCGACTGCCTGAAAATAGCTGCCGGGAGCCTGGCCCTCCGCTGGGATCAAGGAAAGCTTCCCCAGGCCGCGCCCCACTTGCTCCCTTGCGGAAGGGGAAGGGAACCCGGGAGGGCGCCACCGAGCTAGAGCTGCTTCTATTTTGGGCCCAGCCGAGCGGGTGCGTCAATGCCTGCGCCCCTGCGTCACCGCCACCCCCACCCCTTTCCTTCTCCCCTGCTCTCCAAACTCTCACTTTTTCCCTTTCGTTCGCGTGGAATCGCTTCTGCCCACGGATCTCTGACGCTACCGAGCTCATGCTAATAAGCTATTCTTCGCTTTCCTCCCCTAACCCCCCTACTCACACACCCTCACCCGCCACCACAACCCCCCCTTCACACACACACACA